CGTTGTAACAAAACGGCCGGCCAGGAGCTCTCTAGATCTGAGCGGGCGTCTTTAGACGAGTGTGGTCACTGAGGGGTGTGGTCACTGAGGGGCGCTGTAAAGCTTTCTCGCACAGGGCGCCTACAGCCTAAGGCCGGCACTGCGTGTATTCCAGCGCTTTCCAGACCAGAGAAAGTGAGGCGAGCAATATTTTTTTTTCCTGGACTGGAACGGACTGCGCTGGTGTGAACAGAGCCCAGAAATACCATAGGAATACATTAGGATGTTTTTTTGCCCTGGGAACAAACTGTTCTGGTCTGAACATGATCCGGACATGGTGTGCACAAGCCCTTAGCCCAGAGAGAGAAAGTGATAGCCCGGAGAGACAGGACAGAGACACAGGTAGCCCAGAGACATAGCCCGCAGAGAGACAGATGAATCAGAGACAGCCCAGAGAGATAGACAGCCCACAGAGGACCAGAGAGATGGACAGGCAGACAAATCAAAGAGAAAGAGATTAGAGACTGGTAGTTCGGAAGGTTTTACCCACCTTCAGAACGTGTCCAGTAAATGTTGCGTCCCCGGGTTTAGATTAATTTTCCCATGTAGGGAGTTTTTTTAATTTGTAGGACTTATGCCCACTAAATAGTCCATAGAAACATTAAAAAGCCAGCAATGTAGTCATGAAAATGTACACACGTATACATCATCGCTGCACCACTGCATTATGACAATAAATACTAATCACTTACAAAAGTGGAAATGGGTTTGGTAATAGATTTTTAAACTCAAACAATGTTGATATAAACACAAATGTTAATGTTATTTTGGAATATAATGTATAATGCAGTCATCTTCTGCCACCTTGTGGTTCTGCTAAGGATTGCTTTGTCTCTTCATTACATGCTATGACAGTGACGACAAACCTTTTTGAGCCCGAGTGCCCAAACTGGATCGCTAAACCAACTTAAATGTCTCAAAGCGCCAATCCTGCACTTGGACCTGAATACTTATGATTTCTTTTAGAAAAACACTTCATACGACTGTCTGAACTAATTATGTGCTTAACTCTAAGAAGAAAAATACAATACAAGAGGTTGTAGCTATAGCTACACTACAGAGTGACATGTACCTTTTGTACTGTGCTAATGAGTGAAGTGTTCCATTGCAGCGGGCTACTAAGGTACATGTCACACAGCACACAGTCTCTCTACAGCTTGGAGTCAGTGGTGGAGCACCAGGGCCCAGTTGCAGCTGTGACCGCTGTGACCCTGGTAGTTCTGCCACTGACTCCAACCTGTAAAGGAACTAATCCTCAGCAATATATTATATAACAATAGAGAGCTACATATCCCAGCAATACATTAAACAGCAATGCAGAATACCACAAACTATGGAGGACTACAAATCACAGCAATGCAGAATATTGCCAACTATAAAGGATTACATATCCCAATAACACATTATACAGTAATGCAGAATGCCACCTACTACAGAGGACTACAAATCCCAACAATGCAGAATATAACAAACTATAGAGAGCAGTGTGATCACCCGCACTGGGACGCGATGCTGCAATGCCATGCCTTCCAGTGCGGTGCAAGTGCAAAAAAATGTGCATGCAGTTTTATTCTGAAGTAAACTTTGTTTGTAACACTGCATTTGTGTATTGCATTTAAAAAAGAAGGTATTTTTTATATGATTAATAAAACAAATAACTCTTTATTAAACCCAAACATTTAGTAAAAAATGCACACAAAAAATGCTAAGTTAATTTTAGTGCTCAAAAACACAATATGATACTCTTTTTTTGTAAAGTGTTAAAGATGAGGTTACAATGAGTTAATAGATACCCAACATGCCCAGGTAAAAAAATTGCGTGTGTCCGTGAAATAGCGACACAAATATGGTACCTCAAATTGTCCATAGGCGACACTTTAAAAGCCTGTATGGGTCATCAGTTAAGAGATATCTATGAATATTGGCCCTAGAATTATTGGTCTCACTCTGGTGTGCACACGTTTTTGTATGTAGGCACACCCAACATGTGTTTGCGTTGACTTTAAAAAAAAATATATATTTTTTACATTTATTTAATGTAATACAATTTTTTAAATGTTTTAATATTTTTTTTTTACTTTATTTAATTGCTATCACATTAGAGGGCTTACAAGCCCCTATGTGATAGCATATAAGTAGTGACAGGTACTCTTTAAGGTGATCCTTGGGGTCCAAAAGACCCCTAGTGTCACCTTTCCACTCTAAATAAGCTATTGGAGTGACGATCGCTCTCTAATAGCGTATTGACTGGCTTCTGTAGCTGAGCAATGACAGCTACGTGACCGGAAGTGATGCAATCAGCATCATTCTCTGTCCCATAGAGCTGGGAAGAGATCGGCAAATGGATGTTCACTGGTCTCCTCCCCAAATTCCTACTGGCAGTTGCTGATCTGCCGGAATTGCTTCCATTGTGATGCTGACAGTCGGCTTTACTAAGGGCCCGTTGCCACCGCCGTATGACATACTTTGGTGGCAGTGAAAGGGTTAAGAGACCAAGCTGTCTGGCAGATGTGGCCGATAAAGACTTGAGCCAAAGCATTTAACAATGACAGGAGTGCTTACAATTGTCAGCTTTTATTTATTTATGTAAAACCTTTATCCCAAAAGGAAACAAAAAACTGTTGCTTGTAACTGCTTAAAAATGGTTAGGTTTAGCTTTGGCTTTATTTTGTTAGTCAACTCCATCTAAATCTGTTAGGGCATCTAACAATACCCTCCCCACAGTGTGACAATGCTGCTGTCCAAGGGGGGCTCTGTTGCTCCTCCATATACTAGAGCCACCTTAAGGGTCACGAAGATATATGGATGTCACCAGCACACCAAAAGTATTGTAGTCCAAAGTACTTGTTTATTTCAAAACTTCATGTCATCAGAACTAGCGCTTTCGCGGCTGCGCAGGATCCCCTTTATCAGGCTCAGCAATGACGTTTTGTAATTGCTGAGCCTGATGAAGGGGACCCTGCCCGGCCCTGAAAGCGATAGTTCTGATGACATGAAGTTTTGAAATAAACAAGTACTTTGGACTACAATACTTTTGGTGTGCTGGTGACAGTCATTGCGAGCATTCAATCTGGGTAACATTCAATCTGGCTATACAATCTCTGTATAGTCAACTTTAGATCTACCAAAATGATGTAAAATGAGGGCCTACTTAATCTATCCAATCAATCTGTATACAATCAGGTGGGTCCTTGTACTGTGCACTTGTTGTTAGATCTAAAGGAGATTGTACAATCAGATTGTAAAGTGTGTGCTGAGCATAAGACAGGAAATGTGTTAGTGGACAGATCAAAAGATGAAAATAAAGGAAAAAAAAAATAATGCAGCTACTACACCAGGGAATTGGTAAGCTACAATTTTGATTTTGGGTTTAGATACGCTTTAGGCTCATTTGCAAAAAAAAAAAAGTCCTGCATGCTGCATTTTCTATTAGTCAGTTGAATTAGGTCGTACAAAAATTCAGGGCATTGAATCCATAAATGCGGGGAAATGCCCATCTAGGACAGATTTTAGAGAAGGCACAAAAGTTTGAAAGGAGCTATTTCTATACTGTATAATGATATTCATTCAAAATGTAAAGTATTATTATTTACAATTAGTACAAGAAAAAGTCACATTTTCAAATATAACACTGGTATGAGTTACAAAAAGTCACACACACACACACACACACACACACAGTGAAATATATTCTGTTTATTGAGTGTCCAGCAGACAATGCAGCTGATATATAAAAACAAGAGCCCTGAAAAGAATTGAGAATGTAAACTAGGAAATGAACAGATTGCCCCAATGCAAGGGTTAACTTTTCAAATACCTGGAGATCTTCTTTAAACACACAAATATTTGTCACTCAGAATAACATAACCAAAAACTGTTATTGCTCACTCAGCAAATCCCAAATCCTGTTTGCTTGTTTTCTAGCAAAAGAGCTCCTAAAGAATTGGACTGCTTAATAGAGAGGCTTGAGACTCTAAAGCTGGCCATGCACCTTACAATTATTGTTAGATTTTTTTTGTCCCATCATCGAACCCCTGTTCAGTTTCCGCTCGAGTACCCCATTATGCACAGACCAATGTAGTTTTTGATTATCGTTCATTAGCAATACTAACTGGATACATTTCGTCGATCCACAGAATAGATTTTTGCATGTGCAGTGTTCATGTTGCGATTTGTTTTTCTTTTGTACGAAAACGTCACTAATCCATCACTTTCGTACGATTCGAAAAACGTTTTCTAGCCTGCCTAATAGACAAAATTCAGCCAGTTGTACAGTAATTCTAATCATTCACGTACCATCAGCTGGCCAATTATCGTACAAAAACCCAATCCCGTTTGTTTTTCAAACGATAATGGCAAGGTGTGTGGGCACCCTTAAGGTTGCATGGGTCAGAGTTGAAAATTCTGGAAAGATCATACTGTTAAAATGCCTGAAGTCCAGGTAAAACCTTTTCCACATGTGTCTGTTGCAGATTTTCCCTTACATGCTGTCTTGTGAAACCATTGTCCCCATGACAGTGAATGAGTGGAAATCTCTCTAATGGAGCCCTGGATAGCAGTAAAGCCCTACAGTGGTTCTAATTCCTCCCCACTCTATTAAAAAAAAGTTTTGGCTGGAGTTGGGCTATAAAAAGAAAGAATATAATGGAATAAATTCGATTTAATGTGTTGTATTAAATGATTTTCCCAGTGGTTATAGTTATTACATAAACTGATATTTACAGAACTGTTTAATGAAAATGTGCACGTTAATAAGAGTGAAATAATTTTCTCCAAACTGAAAGTGATGAATATTTCAAGTATTAGGCCTTCTAAATCCTAGAACACAAACACTGTAAATTAGAGGACATTGTATGTACATTATGTTCCCGTTTTTACATTGCACTTAATTACTAGGCTCGTCTCTTGCTTCTTTGGTGACTTGTTAAGAAAAAAGACAATTTGTTATTTTGGGCCCAGTTTCAGAAAAGTTTGATCGCCCCGAAGAATGTCCCATCACCACTTAGAAATATTTGTGAATCGCTTCTTGATACTTTAAGGGAGAGTTCATCACCTTCTTCTAATTTTGCAAGTCCTGGAAAAAGAATAGAGTATTAAGCAGAATATTGAGGTAATAGTCGTGAACATTATAAGTGGGCTTTACTTTTCCCAATGGATTGTTCATTTATTTGTTTACCTTAGTAGAGAATGAAGCTAGAGGGATGAGACTGTATCACTAAGTTTTGTAATGACCATAGCTGGTGGGGCAGAGCAGGGAATTTTAGTGGTGGTATCTCATGACTGCAATCCCAGGGACATATAGGAAGCTAGCAGGTAAATCTTGAAATCCAGTTACAGCCAAAATGCCAGTTTTAGATGACATTAGATTGTAATTATTTTTATGTATTTAGTAATAATGTGATTTAGATTAGGGGTCTGTGGTGACACGTTTTAGTGTTGTTTCTTGTATCGTTTTGACATCCGTTCAAGACATTTCTGAGATAGTTTAGCATTCATTGACCGATGCATTTGACCTGCAGTTGGCCTGCTTCAAGCAGGTTTTGCATTACCGTAGATTTGAATGTGTTGTTGAAAGGAAAACTCCAGTTTAGGTAAAATTTATGTTACAGTATAAGTCATTTTGAATTTAATGTTATTAATAAACCTTTCAATTTCAATAGACAACTAGCCAGCAATACAGTGAGGTCCAAGGGGTAACATGGAGTTTGACACTCCCAGAAGGGATGGTTTACTATTGGGCTATGGGGCTTAAAGGAGAACTACGGGGTCAGTGTTTTTCCCCATAGTTCTCCCCAGGGTCACGGGATGACACAAACTAGCGTCCTCCCGTGACCCAAAGCTCAGTACAGCTACAGCTCGCGGTATACTAAAACCACCGCAGCCGGGACGGATCCCGTTACTGTCTGGATCCACCCAGCTACGTGATTGACAGCTGGCTCTGCCTATCTAGAGGCAGAGCCAGCTGTACCCGCCCCTCCCCCATCCATTCCGCCAGTCAGTGCTGGAGGATCGAACAGGGGAGGGGGGAATCACTGCAGGGAGCCGTGAGTAACAGTCACGGCTCTCTGCAGGGACAGGATCGAGAAGTGAGCGAGCGAGGGTATGTGTTCGCTCACTTCCTGATCTATTGAGCCGACGTGTGACAGTTTAATTGTCACACGTTGGCTCGAACTATGAGGATGAGTGATTTTCACTTACCTCATAGTTCTTTAATTTGAGATGTTAGAATATTGCCAGGGCACCTTACGTGCCTTAGCATGCCATATATCAATTTCTACAAAGCAGAGACAAAAAAGGATCTGCAGTAAAGTTAAAGTTCTTTCAATGTGTTTTGTTAACAAAAGGGATGATTTATTTTTATCAACAAAACCTGATTTGCACTATATATTCCATTTGTATGAGAAGCTAGACATTCCTGCTCAAATGTTATTTTAATAAAAATCAAAGCACAAAATTTCCATTCTCAAAATGATTTCAGAAAAAAGAAATGGTCATTCTCCTGCCATCTTCTCAGCTTCAACAATGAAAGACTTTTCAAATGCAATGTTTCATTGATTTTACCTATACATGATAGAATTACTTCTGTGAGTCCAGGACGAAGATGGAGCCTTGACACCCTGGGCTCACAGGATGTGGGCATCATGTAACCCTGAGGAGGAGCTGTGCTGCATTGTTGGATCAATAGGTATAGCAGTTGGAGCTTTGGTTACACTTTAAAGTTTAAAGCCCAACTCCTGTCAAAAAGTATTTTTATTCCACCCACCCCTAACCCATCCTGATTGCAATCCTGAGGCAATTGTTTGTTCAAGTCAGATATACCCACTTCCCCCCTCTACGTCCCTCTCTTCTGCCATTTCTGCGTGGGGGTCCACAAATCCAGTGGTGCAATGGTGCCTGAGACCGCCAGTCCCCTTCACTGACATCTGTCCTCCTCTGTATCCTTAGAGGACACTGGCCAATTGACAGTCAATAGGAAGTGTCTGTCAGAGCTCATTCTTTTGCAGAGGTACAGCTGCTGGCAGAATCTTTAGTATCTCACAACACATCCAAATGTGTTTAATGGCTACGTCCCCTCCCACTCAATGTGATTCCACCTGCTGACCATTACATCACTAGTCTGTTCCAGGGACAGGAAGTGGTTAAAATAATCCACAATAGAGACACAACTGCAAAAGTAACAATCTAAGGGAGGTTCTAAACCTTCGGCACTCTATCCAAAAGTAAGAAAAACAAAGTTGGACTTTTACCCAAGAAATGTCTATTTAAAAATTTCTATATCTTTTGTCTCTGCTTAGAACTTTTTTAATTGTATGACTTACCACCTGTGAAACATGAGTTGTTTGGGTCTGACTTTGGCATATTTTGTATACATCTAAATAAAGTCACCACGTTTGGATCATTCCCCACAGTCTGCATCTTTTTCCTCTGGATTACATGACCCATTGCAAACAGATCGTCTGTGTACCAAACCTGAAAAAGAGCAACAAACATTTTGCCATATCTAATAAACATAGGGACTGCAAATAGGATAAGTTACAGTATCAGGAACTGAATTTTGTAGGTCTTGAACTCTGTTTTCCCACATACAGGAGCATTACTTACTTGGTATACCACTGCAGCCTTTTCATCAGTTTACAGTTTTGTAATAGTTCTGCAAAACTGAATTGCACCCATCTAACCTATATTTGACCATGATCTAATTTTAGTCCTTCCTTTTCTTGTTTTCTTGACAGATTACTGTGTGCCACACATCAATACTGACTCATGCTACCTCTACTGCTACTTTGTAACTAACCCATCTCGTGTGGCTTGTAGCTCTGACTCTGATTCTCTGCCACCTGCAGTGACCCTGATGCTGATTCTCTGCTGCCTGCAATGACCCTGGGTTTTGACCCAGGTACTGATTATTTTCTTCCTTATTGACCCTGGCTAGTGATCCACACTTAAAAGAGAACTATGGCCCAACCTAGTCAATAGGCTTAACTGAAAGTGTTACAGATGGTGCACAATTGGATATCTGCTGGCCTCCCTTTTGGTGGCCTCTTACCAAAACAAAGTACAGGATTTTGCCCTCTTATGTGAGAACTGTGCAAACAATAGGATACCACATTCACTCACTGTTGGACTACTACAATCTCTCCTTGTGCCAAAAATATTGGAGTCTATTTCTATGAATTTTATTTCTGAACTACCGCCATCAAAATAAATTTACAACTGTCCTTGTAGTAGTAGATCCTATAACCAAAGACACAGCAGAAATTCAAATTTGAGAAGTTTATAGACTGCATGGTCTCCCATATGAAATAATATCTGATCAAGGAGTTCAGTTTACTTCAGGCTTTTTGCCAACTGCTTTTTATCTTCAATCAAATGATCAGACTGAAAAGACTAATGAAACATTAAAAGCAATGTTCAGGTGGCACCTGATCCTTGAGAGCAGTGTTGTGCTCTCCCTACGGCCCGTTCCTGTTCGTTCTGGTGTTATGGAGATTCTTAACACCAGAACTAACAGGAACGAGCAGTAGGGAGAGCACAACACTGCTCTGGTGGATCAGGTGCCACCTGAATGATAGAAGTGTCTATCAGCCGTTGCACGCAGCAATTCATTCTGGTGAGCGCATTTCTTTTGGGGATTCAGATTTGCATTGAACATTTTAAGAAAAATTCACTGTTTACGGCACAAGAGTATTTTTGGACGTTTTTTTTGGACACTGGACTTTTACACTGTGATTTATGTCCTTATTTGGATCATTCATTCATTAATTATTGTAATATTATTGTATGTGCACTATGATTAGATAATTTATTATGGTTATATGGCACTATATGCACTTTATGCACGGGCACATTTAGCAAATGATAATTGATTGTGGATTTATAGAGCTCTTTAGCTTCTAGTATAGCAGCTTTAGACAAATCTATGTAATAATTCCAAGCACATGAGATCATTGTATTTTGATCTTTATTTTATACACCTTTTTCAAACACCTTTTTTTAGCACATATTAGTTCCTCACCAAAGTCTCCACCGCTGTACAATCTATTGTAGAAAACATAAAAATTGCTGCTTTCATCTGGTCTTGGAGAAGCTTGGTAATAACGTATCTTCAGGGAGTGGTCTGAGTGAGCTTGAGTTTGTACCCCCTCCTTGATAATGTTTAAGATGTACTGGTTAAAGTATCACTGTCTTTTGGAGGAAGGTTGACTCTAATCTTCCCCCAACTCCCACTAAAGCATCATTGGGTTTTTGGGGTTGAATCTGAAGGGTTGAAGAGCACCCTCCTTTGACTTTCCCTTTTCAGAAACCCCACTATTCCTTTGGTCCTTCTTTCTGTTTGATGACCCTTCTAATTGTTTCTCCAAAAGGGTTCCTATTTCCGAACCTGCATTTACACTTTATTTTTGTCTAATTTTTTCAATAGCTTTTTGAACTCAGACCTGAAGGGGAACTTATCTTCAAATGGGAGGGCTTCCTATTTAAAAAAAAGGGAGGTCACTAAGGGGGCAGAAGGGTGTAGCTTTCCTGGACCCCTTTGTCTTCAGACCACAGGACCTTACGGGCCTCATGGTTAAAAAACAGGACCTGGTCATATTGCTGGTACAGCAGACGGGAAACAAAAGTTTGCTGGCTTCTGGGAGCCTTTTTTAAACACTCTAGTCTTGTGTTTCCTGCAGGTGAGTGGAGCCATCACTAGTCAACCATCCTGGAGAAAGATTTCAGATAGTAAGAGCTGAAAAAGTTTTGAATAGACTTCCACGGTTTTAGTCAACTCAGTAGACTTATTTTAAAAACCTGAAAGTATTTCTAAATGCACAGCATGTGCCATAAGCTAGTATAACATACACTCTATAAGTAATACATAAGCTAAGTCAGAACATTGAAATCTCCTTTAGTTTCTAATGGATGACAATAGTCTTTACTATCTTGGTGTCAACATTATCAAATCTCTTTAATTTGGGGAAATTATCCCCCACTGATTGACTACTCAAATATCTACTTGAATCATGGCACAGATATCACATCATAGGTTGTATTGCTTTGGTAAAAATCGAACTTCTACCAAAATCCTTTTACTGTTGAGTTCTTCTCATACCAAAACCTATTCATATTGTTGACTCTTTACAACGCCATATCCTTATCTTTCTTTGAGGACATACTTGTCCTAGAATTACAAAAGTGATAATATCTCTCAAAATATAAAGTGTAGTTCCACTTTTGAAAGTCAACTTTGAGAAAAACCAACTATATGTTGTGTTCCCATTCACACAGCATACCTAAAAGTAATTTAAAGAAAAATATTTCTTACCTTCTAGCTGTTCTTTGGAGGCCTTTGACCAGACTGTAGGCTATTTTTAACAGTTTGTGGGTGATGCTGTCCCAAGACAAAGGGGGCGGGCTGCATTGCCTCTCAGTAACATACAATGCTTTTATATTTTTAACCATTGGTTAGTATAGACATTGTTCAAATCTAGTTTTTAACTAATAATTAGATCAATCAGCACAGTACAGACAGAATTAATTTTAATAAACATTATCTCCGTACCCAGTTCAAGCCCCCTCCGTGAAATTACAGATGATGAAAAAAAATGTTAGTACTGGAGTTTTCAGAAAAAGAGTAAGTAACATTTTTTAAATATTCTTGTAAAGTTATGCTATTGGAATGGGGACATGTAACAAATAAAAAATAGGGTGTTATCCCAATTTGGCTGCACAAGTGGAATACACTGTAAAGGTGGACTTGGCATTCCCTATATAATCTAATATTTGTATGCAGCCCACATATCTCATAATACTCTCTATCTTGCCATCTTCTACTCTGGGTGTGTATAGAGGCAAATTAACACTCCACTTTGCATTGGCAATATTGCATGGCTTAGTCTCAATGACAGACAAGAGCAAACCCAATAATTAAACATCTAGCCTCTCCACTTCCCACAAACAAAATTTGTTGGTAATCCTGCATTTTATCCAATTACTGTAAAACCCACATTTTTTTAACAATGAAAAGATGCAGGGATACGTCACCTATATCATCTTCTATCATATTCATGAATAAAACACTTTCCCGACTTACAAGAAACGTAGGCTTTTCCATTAACTCCAACTTAAAGGCTTTGCAGTTGGTCACACACTTCCATTCATCACCTCCATCCCTAACAGTTTTTGAAAAACTTTCAAAAACTGTTTAACTTGGACAATAATCAATGAAAAACTTACTGCAGTCTTCACAGACTCTAGTCTAAAATTTACCAAATTTGGTAATATTTATTTACAAAAATACTGTCATAAATCCTTCTTAACCATTTAGATTTAAACCCAGATTCAATAGTATACATTGTTTTCCCATAATGCCCATTTGTACGGCTGCCCCCCAAGCCTCATACTAGACACCCGTCTCCTACCTTTTCTCTCTTCTGTCTATCTTTTCTCTTGCCTTGCTACACAACTACCAGTTTACCATTTTTGTTTTATACTCCAATGTTAATATGCAATGCATCATGGAAAAGTAAAAATGCAGTCTTAAACTCATCTGCTTGAGTGGCTTATTTCCTCTGTACAATATATTGATAGTGATTTGGGACATGCTTACTATTATTATAACAATTATAGCTGTGTCCTTCTTTCAGGGAAAGTGAGCTGCCAGTAAAGCAAACAAGGGACCTTTGAAATCAGGTTTTTATCATGAAGCACAGGCAGAAAGCATTTGAAAACTTTTACGCTGGGTTCACACCTTAGCGTATTGGAAACTCGCGTTTGCGGTAAAAGAAACACGCGTCAAACGCGAGTTTCCGAGGGGGTATCCGGCTGATAACAGTGGGATACGGGCGTTAATACGCCCCAAAGAAGCTCATGTACTTCTTTGGGCGTATGGCGTTTTACCACGCGATCGAACGGGCGGTAAAACGCGCAGGTGAGAATCATGCCCATAGGCAAACATGGGTTTTCACCTGTTGTGCGTTTTACCGAGCGCAAGAACGCGCGGTAAAACGCTCAGGTGTGAACGGGGCCTTTACACCTAAGAAGCAAAATCAGCATCTTGTAATTGCATGTAGTAAACTTACGGATTTCCAATGTGTTTTAGGGCTAGTTCACACCAGATGCAGTTGTGATGCAGTCCGTTCAGTTTGTCAGCTGCATCCAAAATGCATCACAATGCTTTCCTATAGGATTTCTGGTGCTCTGTTCCCACCAGTGCAGTCCGTTCTGATGCAGTCAGAAAAAATACTGCTTGCCCTAGTTTAGCTGCAATGCACCTGTAATCCCATTTTACACACAAAAAACAAATGCGCCAATCACAGTAAAATCGCTGTAAATACACGGCAAAACACATTGCACTGCAGCTGCGCAGTTGCACTCAGTTCTGGTGTGAACTAGCCCTTGCATATTAAAGTGACACTAAACTCAGACGTTAAACCTTAAAAATGCATTCACGTTCTCTAACTATTAACAAAAATGTAGCTTATTTGTGTATCACTCAGCTGCTGCTCCAAGCTCTCTCCTGTGATAGACTACAATCTTAATACATTAGTAAACTAAACATGAGATTGTAGTCCATCACGGTAGCAAGCTTGGAGCGATGGCTACTTTACAACATGGGGGACAAAAGTAGTCACCCTCCAGAAGGAAGGACAGTGTCAGCACCAATTCAGAGAGGATTTGAGAATCAACAGCTGAGTGATACACAAATAAGATACATTTTTCTTAATAGTTAAGGTACTTGATTGTATTTTTAAGATTTAACTCCTGAGTTTAGTGTCACTTTAAGACTACTTTTTACTTTAAAATCACAGAAGTGGTTAAAAGATCTTGGACATCTGGTCCTCTTACCTGGCTGTAAATGAAGAATATACCATTTTCTTTTATCAGTATTTTATTTTGTTTTTCTTCAAGGGCAGTTCCAAGTCTAACACTAAGAATCCATGGTATTATAGTGTTGTCATCTAACAGAAAAAAATAACAATTGTTAACTTCTAGCACACTGGCTTTAGTGTTTCCATTGATTAGCTTATACAATTTCACTTCAAGGAAACCTGTCATGGGAAAAATACATGAACTGCAATTGCTCATCTCCTTTTGGAAATATGTGTTGCCTGTCCATCTCTGGTTTCAATCATGTCTGAGTCTCTGACCCAAAGCAAGAATTCAGCAAATAAAGTCACAAATACTACCCTTCATACGTATTCTGGGTCATTAACACTAGTAATCAACCAGTGGAGCAGTATGACAGCCAGGCATCTAGAATTCTCAGAAGGCCAGTAATTTTTTTATGTTTTAGCATTTATCTACTTTTTGCGAGCAGTGGATATATGAAAAAAAATGTTTAATGGTACTTTAACCTTATCTTCCATCTTAACCCTAAACTAGCCTCTAAGATTAAACATGGGGGTGGGGGGGTGGTTGGTTTTAAAAAAAAACTTGTATTAGTATTATGATGTTTAGGCTGGGTTCACACCTGGGCGTACGGAATATGCGCATTTGCCGGCACTTCGTGCCACGCATTTTTACCGCGATTTGCTGTAAAAGAAGAAGTGCGCAACAAACGTGCGTTTCAGAGGGCTATCCGGCTGTATCCTAATGGATACGCGCGGCAAATACGCCCCAAAGAAGCTCCTGTACTTCTTTGGGCATAGGGTGTTTTTCAGCGCGTTCCTACGCGCTGTAAAACGCCCAGGTGGGAACCATGCGCATAGGCAATTATTGGTTTTCACATGTTGAGCATTTTACAGCGCGTAGGAACGCGCTGTAAAACGCCCAGGTGTGAACCAGGCCTTAATGAGGGTAAAGGTCCCCACACACCTTGCGATAATCGTAGGATAATCGCGGAAAATCCCGCGATCGTACGATTATCGTAAGGTGTGTGAAAGCCGTGCGACCTCTACTACTGTAAGGTTGCACGACTTTTATCTTAGGAACATGTTCGAAAACCCGCCGAGCATCGTGATGTTCGGCGGGTGTGTAGCATGTTCGTAAGATAAAAGCCGAACGGGCCGGTGTGCGCAAGCGCACACTGCCCGTTCGGCATTGCGGTCCTCGGAAACCCACCCCCCGGGGGGCGTGGCTTGCGGTCATCGCAAGTACGATCTGCCTGTCCAAGATAGGCAGATCGTACGTTTTTTTAATTACCTTACAACCATCGCAAGACAAAAGTCTTGAGATGGTTGTAAGGTTTGTGCCCAGCATTAGTGTAGTGTTTGTGTCAAAGCTGTGTTTTAGCTTAGTCCAGTCCTGTAAAGAAAGGTAAGTCATACAAGATGTGAAAATATTTGTCTGTCTTGTCTCCAAAATATATATTTCATTTTCAAGGTTAGATCTGTGCTGCATTGGAAATGTTTGGGAAGATCCAAATACTCCAGCAGCTCTGAGCTGCTTTTACAGAGAATCAGCAGCTGTTTCATGGTGCCCAAGAGAGATGATCACCCCATCTAACATTGACCATACAATGGAGGTGTCCTCCCACTTTCTTGCTGTAATAATCTTCAAATGACTAACTGCCTTAAGTTATAACTGACCATATTGGCAACAAGTCAAGAGTGATTAACTCTTTGTGGTATTACTATGTCCCAGCACACTGGCCTTACCTCTGTGGCATTATTCACACAGATATTAGAATTACCATTTTCCACTGAAAAATCCCGCGATCGTACGATTATCGTAAGGTGTGTGAAAGCCGTGCGACCTCTACTACTGTAAGGTTGCACGACTTTTATCTTAGGAACATGTTCGAAAACCCGCCGAGCATCGTGATGTTCGGCGGGTGTGTAGCATGTTCGTAAGATAAAAGCCGAACGGGCCGGTGTGCGCAAGCGCACACTGCCCGTTCGGCATTGCGGTCCTCGGAAACCCACCCCCCGGGGGGCGTGGCTTGCGGTCATCGCAAGTACGATCTGCCTGTCCAAGATAGGCAGATCGTACGTTTTTTTAATTACCTTACAACCATCGCAAGACAAAAGTCTTGAGATGGTTGTAAGGTTTGTGCCCAGCATTAGTGTAGTGTTTGTGTCAAAGCTGTGTTTTAGCTTAGTCCAGTCCTGTAAAGAAAGGTAAGTCATACAAGATGTGAAAATATTTGTCTGTCTTGTCTCCAAAATATATATTTCATTTTCAAGGTTAGATCTGTGCTGCATTGGAAATGTTTGGGAAGATCCAAATACTCCAGCAGCTCTGAGCTGCTTTTACAGAGAATCAGCAGCTGTTTCATGGTGCCCAAGAGAGATGATCACCCCATCTAACATTGACCATACAATGGAGGTGTCCTCCCACTTTCTTGCTGTAATAATCTTCAAATGACTAACTGCCTTAAGTTATAACTGACCATATTGGCAACAAGTCAAGAGTGATTAACTCTTTGTGGTATTACTATGTCCCAGCACACTGGCCTTACCTCTGTGGCATTATTCACACAGATATTAGAATTACCATTTTCCACTGCAGACTTTCTGGTCTTAAATTGTAGAAATCAAGAGCTATGACATCCCTGACATTTATGTGGGTTCTGATTTATACATGTCTTCCATCAAGTTCTCCTACTGGAGTACCTTCATCACACATACAGCTTTAAGCTGACATTACATGCAGGGATTGCTAAGATCTACATTTGTTATTCAGCATGCACAAATCAACCACAGAACACAAAACAACTATGATGACCCATTGAAAACATTAGTCAAGATGCAGCATAATAATTAATTCAATCAAGTACTCAAATAAAGTAATTACATTGACTGTATCCTACAGATATTTAATTGAATTTATGAGTGCACATATTTTATTTAATGGACACAAATGAAACTTAAAGTAATAACCTTGCAACATGGTTTTACCAAGCCATTAAGTATTGAGCTTTATTTAACTAAAGTTGTCAATGATGTATTGGAACAGCAAATGTTATTGTTTTAGGCTTTTTGAACATGGATTGCATCATGACTTGCAAACAAAGGAAATTATTTCAGCATGTTCTGACAAACTGGCAACAACATCAAAAGAGACCTCCAGTCAAGGATACACATTGCTAAACAATGTGATGGGGAAGAGACACTCAGAAGAGAGAGGTATGGAGACTGATACAGTTTTTCTAAACATGCAAATGCTGCAGGAGCAGGAATATTTCTTAAGACAACCTCCTACATTCCAAAGAATAAAGTCGTTTGTGTTAACCAGTGGTTCAGTGATCAGTCCCTTGATCAATAACCCAAGTGCGGAACCAAAGAAGATGAAAAACCCTTCAGCATGTGATGGTAGACAATAGGGATGAATCGATACTTTTCGAATACCAGTGCTGATACTTGGCATTTTCATGAGAACTACCAGGGTTGCAGCTGGGACCTGGCTGTGGCGCTCCACCACTCTCCTGAAATCATTAGTCGATATTGTTTTAGAAAAACTGTCACATGACAATAAACAAAAATGTATCAGTACTTGTACTTGTAAGTACTTGGGCAAGTACCAGTACTTGCAAAACTAGTATCGGTGCATCTCTTTATTTATATTTATAGACAAAGACAAAATCGTACATTAAAACAGAGATGTACAAATCCCAGGAGCTCCGTGTGATCCTTACAAATGACAGCTGCCTCCTAACTTTTCAATTTTTCTCTAGTATAGTTTTGGAGCTCAAAAAGTATCTGTACTTGTACCGAGTACGGTATTTGGTATCGGTGCATCCCTAGAAGACAACCATTACATAGCTGTCCACCATCACACGCTGAAGGTTTTTTTTGTCTCTTTGGCTCCTTACTTGGGTTATTTATTATGGAACTGTTTGCTGATGTTATTTGGACTGAACATGTGAGTAGAATGGATGTTGATACACTCTTTTTTAATAAATGGTACTACATGAGCAGAAGGTGCTGTTTCTTTTAACTCTGTCTGTCTCTTCTTGGAGAGATTTCCCTTTACTTTCCTGTCCTGGAGACTCGATGGGGAGTGAAAGGCAATCTATCCTAAGTTAACGGAAATGCCTCACCGAAACATGTAACCCTATTAGATTATTCATCCTCTAGTCTTGTTCTGGTGGCAATAACAATTTAGATGTCCTATCTTTTTCTGTTCTGATGACAACCATAATTTTTCTAATTTGTATGCTGCGGTGACAATGGCCACTTTGAAAAATAGTTTGAATCTTCCTAGAGGGGACATAGACAGCATTACACACTTGTTTGTAGGTTTGGCACATTTCCACTTTTTACTAACTAAACACAAAATGGTGTTTTAGATATACAACTACTTACAGGCAGCAGATAAACTATATTAATATCAAAATACTGGTAATAAACTATTTTGGAAATTAAATCATAGCAAAAAAATTTGTATGTGTATTTCATACCTTCATTTTCAACATTCCTTGTTTTGTCTGGTATAAGTTGCAAGCAAGAAGGGTAAGCTGAAATTAAAACAATATTGATTTTAACAAGAATATTAAACTCATCAAGCTGTTATCTGCTGCCAATAATTGCTATGAAAATCCCATTTGATTGACAGCAGTAAGTGATTTCCACAGGTTTCAAACCTTTATCATTTAACATGCCCTTATTTTTGTTACAAGTTAAATTTATAAAATAGATCATATTTTCTCCCTAGAAGCAGGCTGGTTCATGGTCATGGACATGCATGGATACATTCATTGTCATAAATTGCCATGTATAATGCACTTTAATAGATTAGGGCAACAAAGGGCTTACAGCTTTGTCAGTCTATCGCCTACCATTTGTTACTTGACAGCAGATTATGCACTTTGCTTCTTTTTAAATAGGTGCGCATTGACCTTCTCCCTTGCAAAAATATGTCCCGACTTTCCTGACTGATTCAAAACTTTTCAAAAGTTTTAACATGACCCTGTTACTACTTTATAAAAAAAAATTGCAAACAAAAAAATAAAATAAAACAAGTTTAAAGATAAAGTTTATTCTGCGTATACTGTATTTTCCTTCCCTGGTTCCTCCTTTCCCTCTTCATGAATATGCTAATTAAAATTTTAAATAAAATCTTTCAGTTTTCATTACGTACCTTATTTGAGATCCAGTAATGTTATCGCTGGGCCTCTCTGCTTCTCTGTGCAATCCAAGCAGATCATGGCTGGTGGTGGGAGCTGGCAGGGTGCTATACATGGCTTCCTAAAAACATCACAGCACCCCACCTCAGTAATTCTATCAAGAGCCCTAAGCCCACATGCAAGCAATGGGCTGACTCCTGTATGGAGCTATGCAAAATGTGCCTTGATATGTAGATGTCAGCCTGGGAGGAGTGGGTATTTCTAGCAAGGTTGCAATTGAAGGTATCAGAAGTATCAGATATCAGTGGTGCCTGCAGCTCTGCAGTAGAACAAAGATTTGATTCCTCATATACCAGAAAGGTAGGTATTAAACCTCTTTTTTTACAGGCTGCTTGCAATTTAATTTGAATTACAGAAGAGACTGTGTCCCTTTAAGGTATATATTTTGCTTTGCAAGTGCATCTTATAGTCTAAAAATAACTATTACATGGGAGGGATATAAGATCAAATATTTCAGCAACTACAGTTTACACCAGTGCTGAGCCTTGTAGCATAGGACTATCTTCATTTAATTTTTTTAGGCCAAGTCTAACCAAAACGTATACTTTTTCACGTTAAATCTTTCTTTCTCCGCAAATGTAGTGGTAGGATATAATTGTCTACACTTCTAGTACTTTCTCACAGATAGCACCACTGTAAAGCTAAACAGCAGTTTTGTAGCTATCATGCATGGTAGATTTTCCATATTGGAAGCAGCCCCTGAGGTTGCCCTGGATATGTGTCAAGGTACCCCAGGGTTATGAATATGCCAGGTTAAGAACCACTGGGTGTTGAAGAAGACAATTGAAAAAATAGCTGACAGACTTGCAAATTTAGAATTTTGGGTCCAGCAAATAGTCAGCAAGGTCTTAGAAGTTGATGTTAGGGATGCACAGATACTTTTCGAGTACCAGTGCAGATACTTGGCATTTTCATGAGAACTACCAGGGTTGCAGAGGTTGCAGCTGGGACCGGGCTCTGGCGCTCCACCACTGTCCTGAAATCATTAGTCTGTATTGTTTTAGAAAAACTGTCACATGACAATAAACATAAATGTATCAGTACTCGTACTTGTAAGTACTCGGCAAGTACCAGTACTCGTACTCTGTGCATCCCTTTATTTATATTTATAAAAACAAAATCCTACATTAAACAGAGATGTACAAATCCCAGGAGCTCCGTGTGCTCCTTACAAATGACAGCTGCCTCCTAATTTTTGAATTTTTCTCTTTGGTAGTCTTGGAGCTGGAAAGTATCGGTACATGTACTCGTACTTGTACCGAGTACTGTACTTGGTATCTGTGCAACCCTAGTTGATGTATTAAACTTTTGCTCAGAATATAGCCGAATGAATGTCATACCCATGGCATTATGGCCACTAGATGGGAGTGAAGAGCAATTCCTATGCTCCTCGGCTCCATCTAGGGGCCATAATGCTGTGTGAACAGCATTCGCCTAGTTATACCCTGGGTAGAAGATTTATACATCTGCCCCATACTGTTCACTGACTTCTTAGAGGACATTCAACCACTGCTCAACACATAAGTTCTCAGACTACCCTATATGCAGTCACAGCCTTACAACCCTTACTGATGTCACTTAGTATTTAGCATAACCTACATTACAAAGATCATTTAATTAATTTACTTTTTCCTTCAGATGCATATCTGCGTGATCGACTTTTCAGTAGTAAATTGGTAGCATCTTCTTCATGGGAATTGAAGGATTTACCTGTCTGTTAATGGTAAACACAAAATTATGATGAGAAATAAAAATCAAATTGTGTTTTACTGATTGAGGTTTTATATAAAAGTAACACAGCACGTTAACATACATAGAGGAGAATTTATCAAAACTGGAGCAGACAGAATCTGGAGCAGTTGTCCATGGCAACCAGTTGGCATCTCTCTTTCATTTTCAAACCTTAACTGAACAAACTGAAGAGAAAAGCTGATTGGGTATTATGGGCAACTGCTCCAGATTCTGCCTGCTCCCCCCTTAGAATGGTCTTGTGCAAATTGGAGAGCTTGACTCAAATGGTAGAACTAAACCGGATTTGCACGTTCATCGCCATACACCATAATGTATGCTAATAGGAGCATTATGGCGGGCTGCAGTGCAAAATATAGTGCATGCAGTGCGTACCATAACGTATGGTAATTCACTACCGTGCGTTATAGTGGGCTGCATTGCAAAAATAGTGATTTGGTGCTCATTCGCATGAACAGGCTGCCTTCATAGAATGCATGTTAAAGCACTACTTAATGCACATGAGGTAATGTACTGTAACAGTGTGAATCTAGCCTAAGGGTGGCCGAAATTCGCAGTGTGTGCTGTTGTCTGCACTCTTTCGATCAGCATCCCTCAATCACCTAATCAAAGGATCCAGTCGGAAAATCTTCGATGGATCAGAGCTGGCAGCCAATGAGCTGCGTGCTCTGGTTGGGTATTCTGACAGGGGCTGGCGGCTGCTGTCAGAATACAATGTAAACTGCAGGATTCCTCGATCGACACGATGTTAGTGTTGATGGAGAAATCGGGTCTATTTATTTCGTTCAGCCCGCGGATTGAACGAAAAACATAGATCAGTGTATGGCCAGACTTAGGGTTCATTAACACTACTCAGGTCCATGGCAGTGCATTTAATTCAACGGCATCAACACAGGTTATGCCATGCATTAATGTGCATGTGTTAAATCAGAACTCCAGGGATTTTTTTTGTTTAATTAACTGTTGCAGTGGAGCTACCCCCACTGCAAGGCTTTATTGCTTGTTTTGTTCTTAGAATTGAATAAAAAAACAAATACTTTCCTGATCTTCGATCCTGTCTGGCTGCTAGACCAGCCTCTTTTCCCTTGGGCTTCAGGGCTTTGGCAGTCTAAGCCCCACTGACGTCATCACCTCTAATGCAGGTCTAGTCACCTGCATTAGACGTGAGGACGCGGAGGGACATACCACAGCCGGAATGAAGGGGGGAGAGGTGACCACTCACTGCTTCAGGATTGAGGATCAGGTGAGTATCTTCTGAATGCCAACCCCTAGACCAAATCAAGCAGTTAACTATTGCAGCGTGGGGGTGGCCCCACTGCAAGGGTTAATGTTTAAAATAACTGCAGTTCCTCTTTAAGGCAGCACATTCATTTGACCTAAAGTCGAGCCTGTGGTATCTTTTGTACTGCAGAAGGGGTGTGGTGTCTTTATATCTATAGATACATGTAACAACTACCCTTTATCCATAAAACTATGCATGTCCCATTTGACAGTTAATCTTGACGAAACCTACCTCCTTCTCTTCTGTCCATGAGGAGTATGTCTCGCTGCTTGCTCCTTTACGCTTGTTACCTATCAGCAAAGTAGGAGGAAGTGGAATGTCAGGTTTCCTGTATGATGTCAGCTCAGCTCGTAGGTTTTCCAGTTCTGTTCTTAAAGCAATCACATTATAAATGAGCAGAGCTGTAAGCCCTGTGAACAGAAGGATGATGAAAGGTAGACAGGCTACCAATAAAACCCCTTTTGGGTAGATGTAATAGTAGTAAAAATAAATACTTTTTCTTTCGATAGCTGGAGGAAAATATTGCTTTGCCATCATTTGTGAATCCATTGTGCAGTTTCTTCAAAGAAGGAGAGGTCTACTCTTCGGTAGTATATGCTGTGCCAGAAATCTTGAAGGAGAGCATAGTATTCCAGAATCGCCCAGCTCAATCCAAAGTTTACAACTAGGTCCTGAAGTGTTTCACTTAAATGTTCAGTACATTTGATCATGTCTTCTTTTTATATGATCGGTTTCCTGCATTCAGTTTCTATCACAATCACTCTTTGTAATCTGTAAATCGTTAGCTAATATTGTGTCAGTGACATACTTATAACTTCTTCTTTTTAGTAAGGAAGTAAAGTTTGATAGTAGAACAAGTCTATGCATGCCATCTACTGTTTTATCACTTACAAGTTTAGTCACTGGACTCAAACAACAACACAAGGGCTCATTTATCAAATCTGATGTAAGAATGTCATTCTATAGCTTTAAGTACATTTAGGGCCTGTTCACACAGTGACCTACACTGACTCTCGGGAACAATGCAGGCCACCACTAGGATACAATTGTTTTCTGTGTGTCCATTTCATGCCACAATGCAAGTGTGATGGGCAGGGGATTGCACTAAAATGCATACATGCTACATTTTATCAAAGCGCAATGGATCCCACCACAGGTTGTTGCACGGTAGCGCAGCAGACTGCAATGACATGCAGTTACCTCAATGGAGTGTACTAGGGATGTTCAGATACCAGTGCCGATACTTGGCATTTCCACGAGAACTACCAGGGTTACAGAAGTTGCAGCTGTGACAGGGCCCTGACGTTCCACCAGTGTCCTGAAATCATTAGTTTGTATTGTTTTAGAAAAACTGTCACATGACACTAAACAAAAATGTATCAGTAATTATATCTGTGAGTGTACCGTATATGCCGGTGTATAAGACGGGTTTTTAGACCCCAAAACACTGCCCAAAAATCGAGGGTCGTCTTATACGCCGGGTATATTGTATGTAGCTTCAGCTTCAGCTACATACAGTATACTGCGCTGAGCCAATCACGGCAGGCTTTCTATTAATGAATACAAAGCCTGTATTAATGAATGCAAAGCCTGCCGTGATTGGCTCAGCGCGGTATACTGTATATAGCTGAAGGACGGAACCCGGAAGATGGAGGACACTGCGGGGATCGTGGCCAAGGTAAGAGACTGTAATCCCGAGTGTGGCTCGGGGTTTACCAATTATGGTACTGAAAATTAACCCCGAGCCACACTCAGAAATACCGGCATGGAGGTTAGTGGGTGCATTTAAACATTATTTTGGGCTATACTCGTCTTATATGACGAGTATAGCCCAAAACCTATATTTTAACACAAAAAGTAGGGGGTCGTCTTATACGCCGAGTCGTCTTATACGCCGGCAAATACGGTACTTGGTCTGGAAAATATATGACATGTGGCACACAGAGATGCACAACAGAAAGGTTAAGTCAATGTTTCACCATTTTAACTGGTTACCGGTGTGATTTCTATATTCTCAGCACCAGTTAATTGATGTGAGTTTAATTACAAATTACAGGAGCATCACAAACTTGGAATGCAATTATTTTTCGCAATTTGGAGAAAGTGCCAATAATTTTGTCCATTCCATTTTTGGAGTTTTGCGTGGAATGTGCCAGGTTTGGCTTTTTTTCCTCCACTTTTGTGTGTCATACCAGTACAAACAAGTGAAATAAACCTGCAAATGCCTAAACATTTGTAATTGCAACAATTTTCTGCGCAAAATGGTGCATTATCTGAAAGAAATGCAGGGGTGCCAATTTTCTGGGTCATAACTGTGTATATGAAAACTGTCTGAACTTGTACCAAGTACGGTACTTGGTATCTGAACACCCCTAGTGCGTACACATTATACACTCCACATAAAAAGAAAAAAAAGTAAATATTGACAACTCCAGCGCGATACACTAAACACTGCTAGAGCTGTCACAGTGCAGTGTTTCAACAGATGGGCTAGTGTGAACGGGCCCTTAGAAATTAAGCAGTGTACAAATCCATGCATATTCTCGGGGTGCTAAGAATATGGCCTGGTGTGGGGGACAATATAACTTCTCTATGCATGTGCAGGAGTTACAATGTCAGAGGGCATCTAATGTCTGAAGAGGAGTGTCATTGGACCCTGAGGAAGTGGAAAGGGAAACAGTATCAAGCTCACATGGAATAGCAATTGGAACCTGAAAATGTCACTGCTGGAGGACACACTGAGAGGTGTGCCATAATGTGAGAGTATACTATGCAAACTTGCATATTATTGCATGAGCCCTCCTCACCCAGGAGAATTTATTTCCACTTTACGTAATACAAATATTATAGGTGTTTCCCCCATCCTGAGCCTGTGGTTGGAGCAGGAGCAAATAAAGGAGCTTACCTGTCACTCTGCTATCCTCTCTTACCAGCTTGTTCCTTGTTAGCACATGCAGCATACTTTAATGGCTCCAGTGGTGGACCTAAGGAACAAAGGGCCCTGGTGCAAGATTTTATTTGGGCCCCCCTCCCAAGAGGAGGGGGGCACAGGACCGAATCACACTGGCCCCCAACCCCCGGCGGGCTCTGCACCAGAGGAGGTTACACTCCCCCCAGAGTCTAACACTATTATTATTATACATTTATATAGCTCTGACATATACGACAGTGCTGTACAGAGAAGACTGTTCCAGTTACATCAGTCTCTGCACAGAGGAGCTTACACTCTAATGTTGAATTGGACTCAGGACTTAGTAACGCACTGGACTCAGGACTTAGTAATGAATTGGATTTAGGACTTAGTAACGCTCTGGACTTAGTAACGCATTGGGCCCAGGGCTTAGTAACGCATTGGGCCCAGGGCTTAGTAGCGCATTGGGCCCAGGGCTTAGTAACGCACTGGACTCAGGGCTTATTAACGCACTGGACTCAGGGCTTATTAACGCACTGGACTCAGGGCTTAGTAACGCACTGGATTCAGGGCTTAGTAACACCAGCTCACCCGAAAGTGACCCTGCATAGCACACTGTAGATCCTGTACAGCCCATCTGAGACTCTCTATGGTGGGCTGGTCGCCTGGGGGGGTAAGGGACCCCCCCAGGCTGCACAGACCCCTCATATGGGTATTGGCCGTACACCCCTGATGGCGGCCCTGTCTGTAATAATTTGAGAGAAAGAGATTATAATAGGGAACATTACTTTGTAATGTTCCCTATTATAATCCATTTTTCTAATTAAATTAAATACTAACACCCTGTGTGCAGTTACCCCCGTACCCCCCCTCCCCCTGATCATCATTCGGACTCAGTGACTCACTCGGCAAGAGCCTTACAACATCCCAGCCAGATGGTGTGCAGGGGGCGGGGCATGTGACACACACACACTTCTCTCCCACCGCCTGTTACTAGGGACGAGTTGGAGTGGTGATTCAAAGGACCCCACCCCCTTGCTGAGAAGCTCATCGGCAGTGCCGGCACCCCAGGGACCCTACACTGCCCCATATTCCACCAAGGGGGATGCCCAGGACCGGACCTTATTGGGCCCCTCCACAGCCACGGGCCCTGGTGCAGCCGCACCAGGTGCACCAGCAGTAGTTCTGCCGCTGAATGACTCCTTGTGCTGCTTATTCCTTACTCAGAGCTCTGCTGTAGAGAAGAGTGCAGTCTTCAGAGCTGCCCCGTGTCATGTATGCCACTAGACATGTGCACTGCCAAAAAATTTGTTTCGTTTCGTTTTAAATTCGGATTTGTGTTATTTCGTTTTTCGGGATTCGGGTGTGAAAGTCAATTCGGATTCAGAATTCAGACGAAATTCGGTAGCGGTAGTTTGAACGTTTGTTTCGTATCGTTTCTTATTCGTTTCGTTCGTTTGTTTGCAGCAAAGTGACATTTGAGGGGGGGAAAAAAAATTTCTCCTCCCCTCCCCTGAGATAGAGCCGCTCCCACCCACGTTACCGTACCAGTGACAGGAGTACATCCCCGCACACGGCCGGGATATACAGCTGTCAAGCTATCACAGAGTTAACTGCGGTTCAGTGTAAAAGACCGGCACAGTACTAGTAATATGCCGTTTTATTACACTGAACCGCAGTTAACTCTGTGACAGCTTGACCGCTGTATGTCCCGGCCGTGTGCGAGGATTAGATTCAGGGCTTGAAAAATCCCGACGAGCAGCTTCCCATTCAAGCTATCGGGCATCTCTAGAGACGCCCGATCACTTGTATTAGCAGCTGTCACTGCCGGCACGGCTCTGTGACAGGAGATCAAAGGGAGTTCAGTATACCGTCTCCCTTTGATCTTCTCTCAGTCCCGAATGCAGGAAGTGATGTATATTACATCACTTCCTGCATTCAGTGTCACTCTCCAGCTAGAGAAGCTGAACACATATTGCCGCAAACATCGGAGTGAGAACAATAATTTTAGGGCCATTAATCACTGATAACACTAAACTGATGAGCGGTAAAAGCATTTTAAGCATCGCCTATGGGCCTGTGGGCGTTTTTTTTTGCGATTTTGCGGGCGCACACAATTTTAAGGCTTGACATGTTTGGTGTCTATTTACCCGACGTGATCCCGACTTTTATGTTTTACCAAAAATATGGGTAAGAATAAATGTTTTATAACATAACGTAGGGAAACTTTGTTTTGTTTTTTACATTTACAGTATTCTTTTCATTATATAGTAAAAAAAATAAACCCCCTTCCCCCGTGGTGATTATATACCTCCAAAAGAAAGCTCTATCTGTCCCCAAAAAATGTTAACATAAATTGCAAGGCTATAGTCCGGTCATGCTGACTGGTGACAGTGAGAGAGGAAAGGGGTGGCACAGTAGCAGTGGAAGAGCCAGATGGGGGGGCTTATTTTCTGGCAGTGCCTCCTTCGAGACTAGACTCTGGATCCGCCCCTGCCTGGCTGTGCTCTCTGGTAGGGATGTCTGGATCAAAGGTTTGCTGAGAAGAATTGTAATGTGTTTGGCAAGTCATATAGTTCATAAGTATGTATTCCAGTTGTAAGAACATCTTTTGCCTGAATCACATACTGTATCTGTTGTTTTGTATAATCT